TCAAAATTGCTGTATTGAACAGTTTTGACATTTCCAGCAGTGTTTCCCCCCCGCCACCCAAAACTATCCAATGTTCTCACCTATCTCACAGCTGTATTTTGCAATTCACTGAAAAACATCCCACAAATTATGGTCTTTTGTTTTGGTGGGTGAAGTGCCATTCTGCAGTCCCCTTCAGGGATGTGACGCTTTGATTTCGTGTCTCATTGGTGCAACTGCTTGCACTGCCTGAGCATGCAGCACTAGTCCAAAATACAGATCCTGCTTGCTTATGTCGTTGATTGTATCCAAAGAGTCTATTTCTAGCCTTCCTAGGGGCACTAAACCTGTAGCATACCAATCATAGCTTTCCTATCCAAAAAGCCTCTCTTCTTGGCTTTTCTTTCCCAATGTCCTTTACCTATGATGTGAGAAGAGGAACATTAAGTTCTTTGTTACAAGTCTGTCTCTAGGAAAAGGCATATTTCTCTTACGGAGGGACCACAGCATGAGAAGCATGTACTGCAGTAATGCCTTTACTGCTTCTCTCTACAGACAGTATTTTTGTCTAAAGGGTAAAAAATAATGGGGATATCCCAGTCTCCCTTCCAAACCCATTGCAAGAATATGTCATCTTGGCAGGTGTGCTAGAGAAAAGCTGTCTTGGTACCTTGCTAAAATAAAGCCAGAAAGTCAACAAGAAAAAAAAAATGAAACATGCAGCATGTGCTTCTGGCCTCCACAGACCAGCTCAATTCTGATAGTGATTGGAAAAGCAAAAGCCATCAGTCACAAAGATTTGACATTGCAAACAGAAACTGGGCAGTTCACAGCTTTTTACCACTCTGTTGGATGTAATGAGAATGCCAGGTGCTGCAGAGCTCCCCAGGGATGCTCTGAGTGCCGGGGAGTGGGGAGGAAAGAAAGATCAGGAAAAGAAATAAAAAGCTGAGGAAAGGCAGAGAGTACAGTAGAGAGGAATGAGAGAGCACAGCAGGAAAGGACACAGTGTAAGGGAGGAAAAGTGCCACAGGAAGAGCAAGAAGGTGGCAGAAAAGTTATGAAGACCTATTTCCAGCTCTTCTGGCTGAGATGGGATGTAACCAGCTAGTTCACTTACTTTCTACAACCTCTGACAGACTCTCCTTCCACTGCAAGGACACCACTGCCCAGCACATGAAATGGCTTGAACAGCAAGCATAATGCTCCCAAACTATATCAACTGCCTACAGCACACATTGCCTGTCCACAGTGGACACAGAGCAAAGCCAAGAACAGCAAGAGCCTCTCCACACTGCCTCCAGGCAAGCTCCTCAGCCCTCCTGTGGCAGTGAGGAAAGACTTGGTGTCTCCCACCTGGTTTGAAATCCTTTGCATGCACAGGAGAAAGCATTTCCCACCCCAAAACTTACCATCATCTGTAAGACAAAGCCATAAATGAATGCAAGATGTAAATACAGAAAGGGAGCGAGGGTGTTGTGATCATGGAGTGCAGGTGCACACACTTCCAGTTCCTGCTCTTCTGGCCCAAGGATGAACTGTCCCCAGACCAGAGCCACCAGCTCTGCCCTGCTCTCCTCAACTCAGCCAGGTGAGCCCCTTCATCCCTTCAGTGCAAGCAAAGAGGGAGCTTTTTGCACACTTTCAGTGTTAGGTCTTTGCTAAGCTATGCGTGTGCAATGAAGTCAAGTTATCTGTTGGCACGTGAGCTGTGGCTATCTGCACCACAGCTCCCACCAGGTAGGAATGACTTTCGGTCCCTTCTGGTCAGGAGCAGGCTTAGGTCAGTGACCTTTCTGAGCAACTGAGTTTTAGAAAAACACTGTTTCCCCTTCAAAAAGCACAGCAGGCAGGCAGGGCCCACTACATCTTCCATGCCATGCTACGCTAGCAACCTCACTGGTTTGCCGTACCATTTCTGCCACTGACACCATAAAGCCTGTATTCAGTGTACTTAAATACATTGTCAGCAACAAGAATGATAAGTGTATTTCTCAGATGAGAATAACTTTTATTATCTTTAAAAACAAACATTTTGTTTAAATATTTTTTTAAAATTCCAGTAATCCTTTGACTCTTTCATCAGACCTTAATGCATAATAATAGAGCCCCTGCAATCAATGGCATTTGATTTACACATACCCTTACTAGCAAGAACTTATGACTAACCCTGATGAACAACAGATGGGAAAACCCAAAAACTGGCAGGTTTGAAAAGTTTTTTGGAGATTGTGCTTACTATAGAAAAAGCTACCCGCACAAGAGGGAAAACTTTCCCCACTGCATAGTGGGAACATCGTCTGAGTGCACTGTCAATCTTAATGTCTAATATATGGGGAATTCTCTGCAAAGGCACAATGTTCCTCCCATTAACTTATAAAAGGAGCTGGCATGGATTCTACAGTCATTTTTAAAACATTACATTTTCTACTCAAAGTTGAATGTCACTTTCTACGTAAATGTTTTACTCTATACTCAGAGCTGACAGCCAGGTTCAGACAGTCCAATGACAATGTGAAGGAACCTGAAAAGATACAGTGGGTTTTTATTTCACATTAACAAAAGGACATTATGTAAATATATATACACATATTTTCCACTAAAAGACCCATAGCCTTGGCTTCCACTACAAAGAATGCTAAATTGAAAGTGACTATAAATCTAGGCATGGAGACTCCGAACTTTCTTACTTTCCTGACATCCCTATGTAGATGTCTTAGAAAAATGATTTTTGTGGTTTAGACTCATAGCTCATAATATTATCTCACCATGTAGCTAACAAGCAGCACAGTTCAAAGAGCAGCCATGGCACAAAAATGCCCAACAGTTTTTCTGATCATTTTAAAGAGCTGCATGTTATGGCTGGGATTTCAAATATCTGCATGGTAGCTTGGCATGCAGCCCCTCCGCACAATGCAGATTATAATCTTTTGTCTTTTAATAGTGTGACGTTTTTAGGCTTTGCAATGATATGCCAGTTAAAACCCCCAAATACACGCCTTTGTCAGTGAGTCCGCCAGAGATTTATTCACATACTCAACTTTGTGTATTGACGTCAATGGGACTTTGAGCGGGAAGGACCAGATGACCTCTGAACATAGCTTCCACTCCTGTTTTTCACTGATTCACCATCTGAAAAGGTCAGCATTGCCTAAAGGTCCTCAAAGCCTGATCCCACCTCATCTGAAGTCAGAGACAGTAACTGCAGCCCCACAGAACTAGGTTCCTGTTTATGCTGTGCTGCTGACCCATGTGTCTTGGGAAGTCTTGGAGAAAACATACACTGAAAGGACTTTATGAGCACTCACAGTCCAGCTGCTGTCTTTTCTGGTTGCTTTTTTGGAATTCCTGAAGAGACACAATATTTTTTACCTTGGGTAGGGTTTCTTTTCTGCAATGCCCTGTAAATGTTTTGTACTCTTCATTAGGTCATGTATTTTAAACACATATGCATCATGGAAATCCAATAAAAAGTATCTTAATGACTGTCTATGTATAAAAACATTGAGGATAAAAGGAGGCTTGGGGGTGGTGAGGGCAGTTCAAAAACAGGGCAGAAACTTCGATGTCCCAAGTAAATATGCCAAATGCACTCTATAGCAACCCAAAATCCCTTAAAGTGGTTAATTGGAGACTTTCACAGAGTTTAACATGGCTGTCCCTTTTGCAATCAGGTACATTTTCTTCAAGTCACCACAGAAACAGCAGCAAAATATGTTGCTGATGAATCATTATCGTTATAAAGGTACAGGTATTCCCCTGAGGCTTTGGTAGTGTCTCCTGGGGAGCAGAGGATGAACTGGCTCTGCAGACGGCAAAGTCCTTGGGGGGAGGACTGCCTTATCACCCAAAGTAACCTCAGCTGGAAAACAAAGCTATAATCACTTTTAATAACAAAGCTATGATAATTTTGGCTGTAGCCTGGCCAAAATGGGAGCCTGGCACTACCAGTGTGCCCTTGCTTTCACAGCAGTAGCAGAGAATATGGTGCTTCTTGCTGGCAAGCTGTGAAACAGAGCAGCAGTTCAACCAAATCCTCCCTAACCAGCAGAAGCAACCATTTCAAAAGCCCTTTCTCCAACACCCCTTCATTTTCTTTTCCTTCCGCTTCCAAGGGAGAAAAAAAGGAGCCCAAGAACAAGGGAAAGAAGAGCTGTGCCTATTCTTACTCTGCATCATTTTCCTTGTAAGTCAAATTCAAGAATTCCTGGAGGATTGGGATCTTCACGTGGGGTAGTTTTCACAGGTTTCAGTGGTTTGCACCAGCAGAGATTCTTACCCCTTATGGTATTTCTGGGCCAGGTCTTGACCCTCCTCATTCCAAGGTCCTATACAGGAAACCAGGAATAATAAATAATGTCCTAGGCCAAGTTCTAAAATGACACCAAAAGGTAAACAAAAGTTACAGATTATCTTGAATTACCAGAACTATTTTGATCTGATTCATGTGGAACGAGATCAGAATCTGCCTGTTCACCTCAAAGCAAGGTACAAAGTCACCTATACCTCCCAACAAATGCAGCATATGTGGTCATTCAGTATTACTTCTTGGAAAACAGGCATTTCATTTAGCATTTACTTTTTCAGTTGTTATGACAATTAAAGCAGCATGGGCTTGTCCTTTTAAAACTCCACGTTGAGCTATTTCTTTTGAACAGATAGAATATAAAATGTACATAGTCTAAAAAGGGCAATAATGCTTTATGGAAAACCTCTCAATGGTTAGTATAGTCTCTTGAAAATGGAGTAAAAGGATGTTACAAAATCCAGAAAGGATTTGTCTGACATAGTTCATGATGTGAACACAGCACAACATACTTAAGTTGGCATGGCAAGAGTCATAGAGCAACTATAGCATGTCCATGCTGTAGCATGTGTCCCATCAAAGAGTATGAGAAAACAGGGTAATAACACAGGAAAATAGTCTAGAAAATGGGGTAGTAGAAGGACTCTTTAGAAAAAGTTACATTCATAAATCCAGTATAACAACAGTACTGTCAGAGGGCTTCATGCAAGCAGCTCTAGAGGTCTGTAAATGTACGATGCACAGGTATTGCTTCCAAGGTGATTTCTAAGGTATCAATTTCTGTACTTTTTTCTCCCTGCACAACCACCTTTATTGACTTCTTACTGGCCTGTCTCACTTTTGCTTGGATGTTGCTTTCCAAGGACACAGTTTCTTGAGGAGGGCATTCTGTAGCACTTAGCATCTCCTGGCAGCATTTTGGATAGCTTTGAAAGCATTCAAAAGTATCACTGCGCTTTTCGCAGGGGAAGTAAGAACATTCTTCCACAATTGGCAGAGAATTACAGCTGGATTCATTTTTGCCCTTAAATGTTCTCAGGCTGGTGTTCAAAGCTGATCTGTAGTTCTGCGGTGTCTTGACACAAAAACATCTCCTGATGCATAACTGTTGAAGGACTGTGAAATCTTTGGTGATGGTGTTTCGGAAATTGGGCTTCAGGAGTAGATAGATAACTGGATTGTAGAGTGTGGAGGACTTCGCAAAGACAGCTGGCACAGCGAAGGCTAATGGAGGAATCTTATCTATTGATCCAAAAGCTGCCCACATGGCAATGATGGCATAAGGGCTCCAGGCAGCAAAAAATCCAATGCACACTGCAACACTCAGCTTGCAAAGAAAAAGAGAAAAGAGTGAGTTAAAAAATTGCATGCATGAGAAAATTAGCCACCAAAATAGTATATACATAAAAATACCACCTGATTGATCCCCCTTGTCAAAAGTCTCCCCAAGTCTTCCATCATACTTCAACTGCTCTCCAAATGCATATTTTTCTAGCAACTTTATTCTGGCTGAAACTTACTTCTACCTGAAACTTTCAGAGTTAAAATGTGTCAGCTCTTACATTTCTCTTCTTCACTAAAGTACCATGAAAACTCTTTTTAGACCAAGAAGGAAGCCAACCTAAAGAAAAAGATACCATTCTGGGGAAACACTTGTCTAGATTGCAAAGCCATTCTTATCTACTGTCTAATTCATGAGTAATACTGGTTTTCCTGACTACAGATGTCTTCCATAATTTTACTGTTTGTGCTCAACTGGAGCCACATACAGACATCTGACAGCAGAAAGCTGGATTAATCCTGAAGGCGAATCAAATTAATGAATTTAACTTAACTCCTACTTCACAATTTTTTGTCCTAATAAACTCTATGAAGAACGCTTTGATAGACCTTTTTAAAAAAACAAAATGAAAATAAACACCAAACACCAGACAAAAACAATAGTTTTTTTGTATAAATTATCACAGAAATATGTAAAATGCAAGAATAAGTATCAGATCTGCAATAAACATAAATCTTGAGAAATCTAAAGTAAACTGTAAGCGTTAGCATGTATAGGAAGACTAACCTGCTGGGCATCATTCTAAGCACTGTTTATAACTGAAGTGCACATATGCTTCATAGACAGAAACAGTCTTTTTTAAAGACTTTTCTTTTAAAGACAGTGGATGAGGGAAAGGCTGTGGATGTCATCTACCTGGACTTCAGTAAAGCCTTTGACACCATCTCCAACAGCATTCTCCTAAGGAAGCTGGCGGCTCATGGCCTAGGCAGGTGTACTCTTCGCTGGGTAAACAACTGGCTGGATGGCCAAGCCCAGACAGTTGTGGTGAATGGACTTAAATCCAGTCGGTGACCAGTTACAAGCGGTGTTCCCCAGGGCTCAGTTTTG